GATATATTTTTTGCAGTGACATCAAGATTCTTTTAGAAAATGGAGAAGAATTACATGGCCATAAATTGATTTTATTTTCACAAAGTGAAACTTGGAATCAAGATGAACTAGAGAAAGTAGACATCTTGGATATCTCAGGTTTGGTTCAAATTTCTTATCATTTATAACCATGACTGTTGCTTTTAAAGGTTTGACTAATTCAGCTCTATTACCAGTCGGTAGCAAGTTTGATTTTCACCTACTGTCCTACAAGACGATGGGACAAGGGGTTTTAATAGAAGAAAACATTCTAATGACTGAGGACAGAAAATCATTAAAAAAAACTAAGCAAAAAATTTTGTTAGGTCCGATCAGTCATGATATTATAATTATATATAATATAATATATAATTATATTAAAATTAATATAACAGATTCTAGACAAACAATACAATAATGGTTTTCTAAACATTCAAAATTCTGTTTTGCTTCAGGATTTTTATGTGTTAGTGAAACCATTACAGATATCTGTCAAACAACATCGTATTGTCTAATGAGATGGTTGTACACCAATACAGTACCTACTGATACAGATTGTCAAACTATATTTATTATTACACATATCTGTCAAACAACATCGTATTGTCTAGTGAGATGGTTGTACACCAATACCAGTACCTACTGATACAGATTGTCAAACTATATTTATTATTACAGATATCTGTCAAACAACATCGTATTGTCTAATGAGATGGTTGTACACCAATACAGTACCTACTGATACAGATTGTCAAACTATATTTATTATTACAGATATCTGTCAAACAACATCCTATTGTCTAGTGAGATGGTTGTACACCAATATCATACCTACTGATACAGATTGTCAAACTCTATTTATTATGACAGATATCTGTCAAACAACATCCTATTGTCTAGTGAGATGGTTGTACACCAATACCATACCTACTGATACAGATTGTCAAACTATATTTATTATTACAGATATCTGTCAAACAACATCCTATTGTCTAGTGAGATGGTTGTACACCAATACCATACCTACTGATACAGATTGTCAAACTATATTTATTATTACAGATATCTGTCAAACAACATCCTATTGTCTAGTGAGATGGTTGTACACCAATACCATACCTACTGATACAGATTGTCAAACTATATTTATTATTACAGATATCTGTCAAACAACATCATATTGTCTAGTGAGATGGTTGTACACCAATACCATACCTACTGATACAGATTGTCAAACTCTATTTATTATGACAGATATCTGTCAAACAACATCCTATTGTCTAGTGAGATGGTTGTACACCAATACCATACCTACTGATACAGATTGTCAAACTCTATTTATTATTACAGATATCTGTCAAACAACATCGTATTGCCCAGTGAGATGGTTGTACACCAATACCATACCTACTGATACAGATTGTCAAACTCTATTTATTATTACAGATATCTGTCAAACAACATCCTATTGTCTAGTGAGATGGTTGTACACCAATACAATACCTACAGATACAGATAGTCAAACTATATTTATTATTACAGATATCTGTCAAACAACATTGTATTGTCTAGTGAGATGGTTGTACACCAATTTCATACCTACTGATACAGATTGTCAAACTCTATTTATTATGACAGATATCTGTCAAACAACTTCCGATTGTCTAGTGAGATGGTTGTACACCAATACAGTACCTACTGATACAGATTGTCAAACTATATTTATTATTACAGATATCTGTCAAACAACTTTGTATTGTCTAATGAGATGGTTGTACACCAATACAATACCTACAGATACAGATTGTCAAACTATATTTATTATTACAGATATCTGTCAAACAACTTCGTATTGTCTAGTGAGATGGTTGTACACCAATACAATACCTACAGATACAGATTGTCAAATTCTATTTCAACTGCTGCAACAATCTATTAGATTCAAAATACCAGCCTTACAGCAAAAGTATGTATTCTTAATCATAGTTAACCATGTCAGTTTTTATACGCCCACATTATAATGTGGTCGTATATTGTCGTCACCCCTGTCCATCGGTCGGTCCACAATTGGCTTGTGAACGCGATAGAGACTACAGTTTTCATCTGATTCAAATGAAATTTGGTGTGATCATTTATATTGATGAGATCTTGGACAAGTTTGATATTCACGATTTTTTGATGAACGGTTTTTGAGTTATTGCCCTTGACTTAGCCTTAACGAATTGAAATTAGCTTGTGAACGCAATAGAGACTACAGTTTTCATCTGATTCGAATGAAATTTGATGTGATCATTTCTATATTGATGAGATTTTGGACAAGTTCGATATTCATGATTTTTGTTGGACGGTTTTTATACGCCCACATATAATGTGGTCGTATATTGTCGTCACCACTGTCTATCCGTCGGTCCACAATTGGCTTGTGAACGCGATAGCCAGCGTTTTTATCCGATCTTAATAAAATTTAGTGTGTAGGTTTATATCCATATGGAAAATATATTGGCTAAGTTGGTGTATCTGGCTAGGCAACCACTTATTATATTTTAATAGCCTTTTAAACAGTCTTCAATCAAGATATTCAAAATAATTTTATTTTTGTCCATTAAACAATGTGCTTTTGATGACCCCCCCCCCCCCCCCACACCCCCACCCAAATATGGTCTAAGAGTTTGTGCATTTGAGATACAATCCTATTATAATACATGATATTATACATACAAATCATGAAAAAATTCATACACTTTGCATTTTAAAATTTCCTGAAAGACATATTTATATTAACCAAAGATATTGGTGAACATCTTTTTGCACAAATGAAGCACAAGCAGTTCACTGTTTTTAACCAAAAACCAAACGATTACAGAGAGAAAGTTACTGGATGGACCAACTCCAAACAGTGGCTCCAAATGGACTAAACATCCAGCATGATAATCAAATGATTCCATTTGTTGCCACCTTTAATCATACAGCTGCCAAAACCTCATCCATCGTCAAACAGTATTACAGTGAATTACAGAACAGATTTCTGAATGTATATACCAAACGACTTGTAATTGCCTATAAGCGCAATAAAAACCTTAGTAATTTTCTGGTCCATGGTAGACTCGATCCCATTGAATCCAATAATACTTGACCCCCCTCTCTATTTTCTAGCCCATTAAGTATAATATATTCTAATCCTTATATATAGATGTTTATCTTTTCAGAACCTATTCATACTCTTTTCTCTTAGAACTGGTAACAAGAAAACTTTCATTTATTTGTTTACTTATGTTTATTGTAGATTACTCGTGGTTGTTTTTTTAACTTAATACTAACTATGCTAACTTCACCTTATCTTGTATTAAACATTTATCTCTTTATTTGTGACCTTGGCCAGTGCTTTACATAGAAGTTTTTAGGAACTTCTTCACTCTTAACACTGTTTTTTATAGTTTCAAATACCTGTATATTTAACTCAAAATGATACAATATGATGTTCTCATGTAAATTGTCAGAGAATCCATCTTTACTCTTTCTAGATGTGAGAAGATGCTAACTAACCTAGTGAATCAGGAGAACTGTGAATTATTCTATAACACTGCTGTTGAGATCTCTGATACTGTCTTGATAGAATACTGTCAGAACCACTTCTCTCAAAACACTGTATGTATTATTGTAAGTATTATTATTGCTTCAGAGGGTAACAGTGAACATCTCAGGGGGTACCAATAATCACTGCAAGGATTAACAGAGAAGATTTGAAGAAAATTTGAAGGTCCATTAGAGTATTGACTTCTTTCACTGTGCTTAAGGTTGTTAGGGGGAACACCAGCAGCATCATGTCTTGGCAATACCTGAGGACCAGAATCACAGACAAATATTTTGATCCCAATCAGATATGACTGGCAGAAATATAACATTTTATTAGTAAATTTGCTCACAAAGTCAAATCATCCTCATTTTTAACTTTTCAGGACAAGATCCAGAAAAATACCTGGGATAATCATCAAGCTATGTCAGAAGATGAAGCAATCAGCATTGACGTTGCACAAATAATCATCCTTGATACTGTTGAAACTGATACAGCAAAATTAAGCTACCAGCAACTAGAGGAGTCAAGTTCTGGTATAAATACCTCTCAGAGTGAACAGCACCTGTGTGAAAACAAACCTTATGAATGTGATTATTGTGAAAAATCTTACAGTAAGAGCCAATATCTCGTGGATCACATCAAAATAGTGCATTCTACCTCCAAGGCTTTCTCATGTCCTCACTGTTGTAAGACTTTCACAGTCAATAAAAGTTTGAAGAGACATCTCAGTGCTCATTGTACTAAAATACTTCATACTTGTAAAATCTGTAGTAAATCTTTTAATCGAAAAAGTGAATTAGAAAGTCATTCTAAAATTCACACCTTGGATCCTGAGATATTGAAATCTAGTTTGTCTCTTATCACACAAGAAAAAGAAGTAACAGTGTCAATTTTCAAAGATGAAGGAGCCAAACATTCCCAAGTTGTAAGTGAAGGAGAAGGTACAAGCAAAGAAAGTTTTTTGAATGACCCAGCAAATGCAAATTCAGCATCTCCCAGGGTCACAAATGATTCTGATCCCAGTCATTCAACAGAGGATTGTGCTAAATTAGAATCTAATTCTGAAATAGATGTCACACATGAGAATGCTGTGAAAGATTTAAAAGTGGAGCCCAAAGCAAGAAAACTGACTGTTTTTGTATCAAACGTATGTGATTTTAGAAAGAGACCCTATAAATGTTATGTTTGTAATAAAGCCTTTACTAAATCAAACCATTTAAAGGATCATTGTACAGTACATACAAGAGTAAGGGAATTTATATGTGAAATTTGTGCCAGTTCATTTCTGACTAAAAATTCATTGAGGCAACATCTAAGAACTCATAGCAGTGAGAAACCATATAAATGTGATGTTTGTAGTAAAACATTCGTACAAAATAGAGACTTGCAAAATCATTTACAAAAAAATTCTGACTGTGACTTAGGGAGGAAACACCTTAATGTCGAAAATGAACCAAACGTGGAATTGATTTCTGAAGATGACATTAAAGCAGGGAGTGAAACAATCAAAGACAACCAGGACTTTATCCCCAGTCCCAGTCTGAAGTGTCTGATTTGTGAACGACAGTTTATAAACCAGGCGGGGTTAAGAGTTCATATGAAGATTCACACAACTACAGATCTTTCATCTAATATTTGTCACAAAATATTTCAAACTTCAAAAGAATTAGAACAACATAATATATCTGATCATGAGGAATCTAAAGAAAATATTTGTCATGTTTGTAGTAAATCATTTAATTCCAATCATGCTTTAGTCATACATGTGAGAACTCATACAGGTGAGAAACCATTTCAATGTGATGTTTGTCCAAAAGCATTTAGATCTGCTTCAGTGTTGAATAGTCATAAACGAACTCATACTGGAATCAAACCATATAAATGTGATGTATGTAATAAACGCTTTAGTAAAACTAATCATGTTCGTGAACACTTTCAGAACATCCATTCAACAGTTAGACCATATTCTTGTGAAATTTGTCACAAATCGTTCCCAACAAATAGAAGTATGAAAGTTCATGTAAAAACTCACAACAGAGTCGAAAATGCAGAACAGTATAAATGTGATATCTGTAGTAAATCATTTAATCAAAAATCGACTCTGCAGAAACATTTAAAACATCATATAGGAAATAAAGATGTAATGTGTGATGTTTGTGGGAAATCTTTTTACGATACTGCCGATCTTAATCGTCATGCTCGCATACATATTAATGAGCCTCATTGTGATATTTGCGATAAAACTTTCTGTAATCAGGAGTATCTACAGAAACACATGTTGGCTCATGAAGGAGTGAAAAGGTATGCATGTGAACAGTGTGATAAGTCATATTTCACGAATTATAATTTAAATAGACATTTAAAAGTTTGTAATAAATCAAAACCCATGTCTGAATAAACATAGAGTTTTCATTAATTGGTGGTTGGTAATTTATTGGAAGCTTAAAAATGGTTTATGGCTGTGGAAGATACAAATAACGAGCATTAAACAACATATAACAACCTCTACCTAACCCTAACAGAGTCACTTAATTCCATTCTTGACATTCACTTTGCACTTTTAGAAAAACCTAGTGCCAATTAGTTTCCATCCAATCCATACTGTTGTAAGCCGCCAAAGACAATGAAGGTGCAAATAGCCAGGACCAAACTTTTTATGTGAGGCACACTATTGAAGAATGTCATACTTCAATGTTCTTAGTTATGTTATCATTATCTTTAGTTTTCTGTCTGGCAGGAAATTTGAATGCTGTAGATAGATGCCTTTCAAAAACCTCTTTGAATTTAAAACACTTATAGCTTCTATTTAAATCACTCAAATTCCCCAGCTGATGTTTTAATTCCTGTAATTCCATAAAGGATAGTCTGTCTATAGAAATCCTTTTTTAAAGGGCTTTAATGGAAGGTATCCTTAGCAAAAGTTGCTGTAGCAATGTCAATCAGAAAAGCTGATTTGTTAAGTTGTGCAACATTTACATAGTCAGTCTGAACTCCACTGAATTATATACTACAGAAAAACCCATATATTTCAACTGGTCGAATCTACTTGGACTAGAAAAAACACAATGTATAAAATGACAAGATATTTATTTACACTCATGATCAAATGACAAAACAACACTTTATACAACACTAATATAACAAAAATAACCATTTCCCTAAAACAAAAAAAACTTCAATCTGAAAAATGACTGTAAACATTTCTGTTTATGTTTTATATATTTGGATTTTTCTGGCCAATGAAGTGATATATTTTTAACAATATTAGATACACATGATTGACATTTTCAAAGTCATTTTATAACAGTAACAGGTGGGACAAATCAGCTCACAATATTTTCAAAATAAAACCAAAATATGCCTTGTTATCAGCTATCTAAACTTCAACAATGAAATTGGGTCTATAAAAAGCTAACTGCATTGAATTAAGATTTTAGCCATGTCAACTAATTTCAAAGACGGAATTTTAATATTAAGTCTTAATTAAGCTACTGTCAGTAGCCATGACTGGACTTCTTCTAGACTAGATTTTGATTCTTCATCCTTCCCACAACTACACTCTACAAATTCTATATTAAATGTCTTTAAATCTGAAAATTCAAAATCTTTATTTCGTTTGCCGAGGAAGGAGTTGTTATTTCCTGTAGATTCCAGACCCTGTAACGCAGCAGATCTTGTTACTCTTAAAGTGTTCCTGAAAACCGATAAAATAAATAGTTAAAAATTTGTCAATATGTCAAAAGATGAAAATGGGTTGGACAATTAAAGGAACAGTCTATTGTTTGCTATTAAATAGTTCAAATTGTCAAAGATAGCTTATCTTCAATTAAGGGCTTCAATTGAAAATGAGTGGACTATATGCCCATACAGAAGATGAAAACTGAAGTCTTTATCTTATCTACAGGCAGCTCCTAAAGGGATAGTAGTTGATTTGGGTCTTGAATATATGTAAATAGTCTTCAGAAGTACTAGAAATGCAAAAAAATCGCATAATTCCTTCAATAATATCTCAAACTAGGAATTTCTTTTCCTATTTTCTATAGATGTCTTTCCTTTTAAAAAAGACAACTCGTCTTTTCAACTTTCAAACACGGATAAATCTGTACACACATGGATTTGAAGGCTCAAATTTCCACGATGAGCTGTGAACACTATTACTGATTAGCATAGCTGAAAAATTCCCATTTCTGAGAATCATGTATGATGGCACATCTGTCCCTTAAAGACTATCAATAGAACTGCCTTACTTACATTTCTTTTTCAAGCTGTGATCGAATGACCTTTGACCCTTTAGCAACGGTCAAGTCTTGTTTATTACAGGCTATTAATATTGGTGGAGAATTGTGGGATATCACATCGTCACTGAGTATGGTATACAGATATCTGAAAATAAAATTATGTAGCTAAGTGTGTTATTCCAAAATATTGCTTTGTGTTTGCTCACTTGATGTACTCACTTCTAAATGTCATTCAAATCTTAAAATGCAATTTTATATACAGTCAAGTAACCTAATCTCGTGCCAACCTATTTTCGTGCATCTCCGACAATGATAAATAAATACATGTGTGACATCGCGTTAGCTCCGCATTTGCATGTTTTGATACACATGGGTTATCTCTACATGGTCAACCTGCAGAATTTGCCCTATTGTTTCAAATCAATGTCAAATTTATTAACTATTTCTAACATAATTATACAAAATGGCAGATTACCAAATGTCAACATTTTTTATCGGCCAAATTTCCTTGTAATCCCAAGCTGTAATCGGAATTCCAAGTGTCGTCTGCTTGAATATATTCCAGTGAACAAGGTCACGTGACAACCATGTCAGCAGAAAAATTCTATGGAACACAATGTGAGTTATATTCTTATGTTGTTTCAATGACTTTTAACACTAAATCACTCTAACATTTTACTTATCTTATTTTGTCAAGCACTATTTTTTATTTTTAAATCATTGTTTTTTTGAAGGAATTTCCATTAGTTAATAATAATTATACAACTGGGTATACATACAACACATTTTTCTCGACTTATTTATAGATCAAACATTGTACGCGAAAATAGTTGACGCATTTTGCAGAGTTGGTTGGTTGGGTCAAGGTGTGGGATTCATAAAGAAAATCGAAACAAACCAATTTTAATTATTTCATAGAATATCTGAAGAAATATCTAAAACACAAAAAATGTTTTTTCCATTTTTTAATTTTGACGAAATTCCGTATTTAATCCTTATATGCACGAATATAGGTCACACCACTGTAATAATAACAAGGATAGCATTATTTAGATGTTATTAATTCATATTGCAAAATATATTTCTGAGTACAAAAAGTAACCTCAATCCATTTCAAGTAAAATTGCAACCCGAGTTGCATCAGAACATATTATGAACTCTTAAGAGTTAAGTCAAATTGAGCACAGTTCAACATAACAAGCTCTTGACATTTGAAAGAAACCTGATTTCAATGTGTAAGATAATACTCACTCAGCCACTTCTTTGATTTCCTTAGAAATTGTTGAACTATCAACTACAAATATTATCCCTCTGAAACAATCGATATGCATATGAGTATAGTCGAACAACAATATTTATAAACATCAAGGTTCCAATTCAAAACTTAAATTATCTATTTTATGTTAGGGTGGAATAAATAAAATAAACAAACAAGACTCATTTTGTTCATCACTACTTACACTACCTTAACAAAAGTTAACTGCCCATGTTTATCTTTTAAATCAAACGTGCTAGATGTGCCAATAAAAACTTTTTTAAATTTAAAAAAAAGCACAATAACTGTAAAGGCTTATCAGTTTTACATGGAATAAATTCTAATTAAATGCGAAAATGATAGCGTTTCGTTTTAAATCAGGGTTTACAGATCCCCAACATTTCTCCTAACTGACAAGTGTTTCCATTTTTCAATAGAATGTTTACTATATCAAAATTTAGCTAAAAAAAAATAGTCAATGAAGTCAAAAAGCTAAAAACAAAAGAGGCAAAAAAGATATGTCATACATACCTTGCTAGAGATTTAGTTTCATCTAATATTGGTGCTCTAATCCTATCATAGCCAGGCAAATCTAACATTCTTAAACTTTTCTACAATAGATAATGTAACAAAATAAGTTTGATTTGTTAAAAAAAAGTTCAATTGTCTCTCTCCTTAAAACCATTTTCAATTACACGCTTTGACTTGCAGGGAAATTAATATAGCCTGAAATGGTTACACTCACATTTTTATTAGGAACTGTATAAGAACTAGAATTAGCTTTCATTGATGTGAAGGTATTGGCATAACGTCCATAAACCAACTGAAAAAGAGAAAGAAAACTATCAACTTTAAGGATGAAAATATATGTCCTGAGAACCCTCACCCTTCTAACTGATAATAAAAACATAATATAACAAAGCATTATCTTTATTGCTCTAAAACAGGTTCTCTCAATATTGAAACAGATTCTTTCAACAGGAAGAAATTAAAAGGGTATGCCAATGCTGCTTTCTTGACAAAATTTCACTCAGGTTTCCTGCAATCAAGTCACCAATAGCACAAATATAGAATGTATTACTTTATTTCCATTTACTATTACTGATGATCGGATTGATGACAATTCATGACGAAACGCAAAGTTTTAAAAGTACAATATGGTCTGTTTCTTTCCATACTTACTCTGTTATAAAGAAGAGTTTTACCAGCATCACAAATACCAATAACAAGAATTCCACTTCGTTTATTGGAAGAACTTTTGAACACAGCTAACAATACTGAAAAAAAAAATCATACAAGAAATTTGTATGATTACAGAAAAAAAAGATGGGGGGGGGGGGGCTGTCGCACGCTTTTAATATATGGTTTCCTGCATAGAAATGAGAATGATTTAAGAGAAAAATTATCTTTTGATCTTACCCAATGTAATGACGACAACCAGAAGGGCTACAAGAATCCCTATTACAGTAGGATCTTGCTTTTCAATTCCTTCTGTAACATATGTAACCAACTTCTCCATTTCGGCAGCCATGTTGTCTTGCTTTCCTTCCGGTTGTGCGTGGATGGGCTCAGTTCGTTTACTCCTTAGTTGAATACGTGGCAAATAAAGGGACATGTTCAACTGTTGGCTTACTCAACAAGCCAAATAGAACTTCCATGTATGTAAATACAAGCATATATTAATAAAACTGTTTACTCAAACATAGAAAAAAATAGTATACAGTTTCATAATACAGAGAGAGCGAGTCCTCTTATGAACTAAAAAGGTGAATAATTTTGGAAAACAAATCTTAAGGTTTAAATGGGAGACAACTCTTCTAAAAGAATACGAACCTAACTTTGATGCGATGTTTAAGTGGACCGTTTCAGTTATGGTGTTTACTCCCCACTGTACAGCATCTTAAATAAATTGTAAACATATTGAAGTTCTACAGGTTAATGACACATCTTTTTGTTCTACTTTTCTAGGAATTTGTCTCGAAGCCTACATTCCAAACAATTTTTCCAGTAACTCTTTGAGCCATTATGCCTTACAAAGAAAATAGGCTTAACTAACCCTTTTGGACCAAACTGGGCTACTCAACCTGAGGGTAATTATCTCAAAGGAAGTAATTTTGAAATTTCTGAGGATAATGAGTTAGCATGAATTAGTGGACAATTATGATATAAGCGGTTGTATTCATTTGGGTTATTTTCTGCGACATAAAAAGATTGCAGGGCTCTTATATGAAAAAGATTAAGGTTAAACCTACGAGAAAATCACGAAATACATGTAGTAAGGATTTATAAAGGAAAGTAGGGTTATTCAATCGATCCTGAGACGGCTAATACAAGGAAAAGGTTGAAAACGCCTGGGCTAAATCATGAAAGATAACTTGATATCACATAATTATTATACATAGAAAAATAACAAGGAAGAAATAATTGCTATAAAAAAGAAATTGAAATTTGTTATTGTTATCGTGGAATCTGACAGTTTTTGTGTACCGAGATCGAGTTGAAAGATTTAAATACGAGATAAACTTGAAATTTTATAAGCTAACATGCCGTGTATGTGTTATCATGCAATCGTATCAGATTTGAGTCGGTATATTCTGATCATATTACCTTCACACTACTAGGCTATTTATTTTGTCAAGACATCGGTAGGATGAGTGTAGGACAGTTGCTAACGGACAGTTGCTCACGAGACAAATTCTGAGATGAGCAACAATTGTCCTATTTCTCTTTTCTATCGTGAGCAGTTTTCCAGGGAGCATTTGCTTGAGGGAGCAACTGTCAGGTGAGCAACTGTCCGTACTCCATTAGGTTAATGCCAGTTCCTCTGATTGTATACAGATTGACACAAAAACCTAGCCTTGGTACAAAGTATAATATGGACAAACTGGTCGGGCACTGGCTTGTTGATCTATGACAGTGAAGCAGGCCTACCTATGACATCATATAAAGCTTGCAGATTGAGCGGAAAAGCAACCCCCATTGCTATTTGGGGGTTCGTATCCAAAAGAAGCAGAATAAACGGCAAAATATGTTGTAGAATAATAAAACTACGGAAGATAATTTGAAAGACACCGGTGACTGGTTTGTCCCAATTATTCAGCTACACCTTGATTGATTTGTAGCCCATGTACTCATAGCATTATTACTAATAAACCCCGAAGTTGATCTTCATCAGAATGTTAATATTGACTTTGTTCTTTTAATTCCGATTCTAATTCTTCAATTGTGTGGAAATTGATGTTATAAATCGCTCGCTGGAAGGCAGAAAAATCTGAAATAAAAATAGGTCAAAGAAATCGGAATAATTACAGTCTTAGTGGGGGTCTATTTAAATATTAATTACAGTTCCTTCAAAGATACACCTTCAGTAACAGATAATCAGAAATCTTGTTCACTAGGTCAATACTGTATCAAAAAAGCGCGGTTGTGGGAGACCTATTGGCGGAAGGTAACAGGGCTTGATAATATGTTGTCATTACCCTTTTTTTTCGATATTCATACTTTACTGGGCTCAGTGTTGGGTTAACTAATAGGCGTTGATTGCTGAGCGCCGACCGTTAAAGTTTAGTTGTCTGCTCCCGTCCCAGCAGAATATTTTTTGCACCAGTAGCGTTTCTTCTTGGGATGGTGGGAGACTGGCCCCCTTCCTCTACTTTCAATTTTTTTTTATTATTTTACATAGTGAAAGAATGACCTGTGGTCCCATAGAAAATTTTGTGGCCCCTGCTCGCCCCCCTCACTGATTTGCACCCGCCCTTTACAAGTAAGCTTATAAAATCTTTCTAACAAATTTCACAATAGTGAACTTAGGGCTGTTGTCGTAGAAATATATTACCAGTTTATGACGAAACAATAGTTTAAACAGCTGTATGGTGACATTAATATAACATCAATAAATTTTAATAACCCACAGCATAATTTGTTTATTTTTCTCGACAAATAAAGATGTTATTAGTCACGAAGATCAACAATAGAACAATATAATGATATAATACATCTCTTGTCTCGTGTGAAAAAAACAAGACGACTCTTACTTCTGTATTCTAAACCAAAACTGACGATAGTCCAAAACTTGTTGACTTTTAAAGGAATTGTAAAGTGGTTTATTAAACTTTTTATATAGGGAACACTGCTAGCATCGATTTGCTCAATTCCAATATTTTTAGATAGACCTCTGTGATTCTTGCGATGCAGCTAAATCCGAGCGGTTTATGATGTTTTAGTGGAATTGTAAAAACAGCCCCCTCAAAGATGAGTTCCCTTATTTTCATTTATGAAAATGAAAATGCTAATACCTATATGAATAGAATGTAGAGGTGTTCTAATGACTTGGAAAAATTGTAATTTGTCTCACATGTCCATAATTAATTAATAATGAGCTAAATTCGAAGAGAATTACCAGCAGAATTCCAATGAGTGACCGATCAAGAAAAGTCAAAAAGTGTTTTTTTGTTTATCCAGACTGTACATACATGGACATTTATAATTGGTAACTTAATTATATGCAATAAGAACATAATGATATGATTAAGAATACATGATAATTCACGAGAAACACCATTTGATAAAATAGTTTGCTTAATTTGACACTAAAAAAAAGGAGACTCATCTTTAAAGGGATAGAAGACCCAATGTTAGCTATCCGTAACACCTTTCAAAATATTCATACGACGTCTGTTTCTTGGCAACTTGTATCGATTGAAGCGATGAATTTAACAACTAAGGCAATCGTGGTAGCCTGCATTACCTAATCTAGACATGGCTATGAAACTTTTCTCTTTGTATATTATTTTATGTATTGATGAGTAACACGAAGGTCAGAAAAAGAAACGACAGAAAAAAATCAAATCACATTCGGAGCATTTTATTACAATAAATTTTCCACTAAGGTGCTATATTCTCTTAAAATAAATGGAGTTTTCATCATAACCGTTACATTTCAAATCCAATAAACTATTTTCATTGGCTGTTTTATGACATAATAAACAGTATTAGCCAATCATTTTATATATTTCTAGTTAATGGGATTAAATATGTCAATTTTTCTTCATATTTATGAGGCAAAAAATCTTTAAAGAAAATTACCGAAGTCTGTGTAAATAATTTTCAATTTTCATAAATAACACAATTTCAATTATTACAAAATATATCTTAATGTTGCTTTTATGGTAGTTTCTTTGGTTTAACTCTTAGGAAACAATTTATTCTTTAAGGGGCAAGATAGAGTTGCAGAGATAAAGGAAAAGGGGTGATATAAGATGTCCGAAAGATTCAACAGTGCAACGTTGTCACTATGTCCACGAAAAATAGAAAAATGATAGTAAATTGAATATTTGAAAGAGGTGACATAGTAAACGAAGACACGTCATTTGAAATATTCATCTCCAGGGAAATAACTTTATACTAAATAAAGTAGGTTGTAGTATCCGGACTATATTTAATATGAATAGTTATCTACTGTTCCTGTAATGCTGAATAAATCTAACATCATAAAAGATATGCTATGGGCTTATTCAATGTACCAATATATCGTGATGTCGACAAAAGAACTATTTTATTTCCAACACCCTCGACTCCACCGTCTTTCCTGCATCCTTAGGCCACTTTGGGAATTGTTCATGCAACGACAGCCATAAAAACAACTATCGGGGTTCTCTATATGTACATTCTTATGATACACGTATTTCTGACAGGGTACTGCAATGTTTCAATGTCCTTGGGAGAAAGGCAGAGTGTAAAATTCCATAAGATGTACTTTCTGGGTAAAAAGTCGCAATGATCTTGGAAGGAATCCTATTCAAGAAGCCAGTCAGTGAGTCTGAACCAGAGTTAAACAGCTTTGTATAATCATATTTTATAGCTTGGTTGTATTAATACTGACGACACAGTAAAATGATTTCTAATAGCAAAACATGTAATAGCCATTTTACATGGTCTGCCCTCTCAGCTATTAAACTATTTTTATTCTGTCGTATTTTACATGTTAAAATCTCAGCCAATTCTACACAGAGACTTGTAGACGTCTTTTATTATACACTTCTTAAAGGGATCTAGTCAAATAGTAATGTCCGCTTTATAGGGATACAATTAATTTAAAATTTGAATGCGAAAGAGCTGATAGAGCTCAATTTAAGGAACACATATAGGTTCCCCACATTTTTCATTATATGGTTCTTAAAGGGGTGCAGGGTAATCTTATAAATTTTCTTTCTAAAAGTCGTATTATATCTTCTCATGGGGCTGATTTCTAGGTAAAACAATTATCTTGCTTTATTAAACTCTTACTGGACTTTTTTCTTCCCCCGAACATACATGTATAATTCGATATAAATTTATGGTTGTATGATCATTTCGTTAACCAGCCGATGGGTTTAATATCTAGATACCCATTGAAGATTGATTTGTAATCTGTAATGTCAAATATCTAGAATGTACTAGACTACACAGCATAAAAGCCTGGATTACCAGGATATATCCCTTTAAATCCTCCATAATTTCCAGTCAGAGACTTGCAGACGTCTTAAATGATACGGTTCCTAAGACCTCTC